CCCCACACACAAACACACCCTTTCACAACTACAGCTTTCATTTTCCCAGTTGCTGAAAATGTTGGCAGCTGATAGCATGCAAGTTAAGTTCCTCTCCAAGAATTTCTCCCTGCGGAAAAATAATAAGGAAAAGCCTGCTTACTCGAGGTCACACCCCTTTCCCAGAGGCTGCTCACATCCAATAAGGGTATAAGGCTCCCAACCACTTGTCTAAATGGGAGACAACTAGGAAAAGCCACACAAACTTTAGATTCTGTGTGATTATCTGAGATAGTGTAATTGCAGAGCACTTTAATCCCCCCTTTGCCAGACCCTGCTTCCTTCACTCCTGCACAGGTGTTGGCTTGAGAATACACTCCAATAAATGTTTTGTTTATTGTCTCACATATTTGTCTCAGAGTCTGTTCTGGGGAACCAAACTACAACAATTAATGTAAAATTACTTAAATATTCTGGACTAAAGTGTTCAAAGGGGCTTAGCTGCCACAGGATGAAATGTGCATCTACCAAGGTAATATGTGCATCTACCAAGGTAATTTCTAGGTTTACTGGTCACTTTATTTTATTCATGTAATTAGTGTTGTTGCTGTCATTAGATAACTATGTATGTCAACACAGGTATGAATGTGAATCTTCCTTTCACAGGTGAGGAAATTGGTGGCTTAGGGACGATAAGAAACTTACCCAGCTAGACAGTGTCTAATTCTGGTTGATTCTCCCATCAGACTTTTAGCTCCTTGAAGGCAGGAGCCACTTCCTTTATGACAGCACTGTTTCCCTTCATGTAATGCAGTGTCTTGCCCTCAATGACAGTCAATAAACATTTATAAAATGAATAAATTAATCCATATGTCTGACCACAAATCCCTGCCATCAACCCCTGTGCTATACAGTCTCCTACGTATTTGATGAGCCCTGGAGTAATGGTGACCATCATAAAGAACTAAAAAAGGAGGGGGGATTTGAAGTCTAAGATGTCAAAAGCAATCTATGTGAAGCACACAGGAATGGGTAATTTAAATATGCATTTTCTTTAAAAATTGAGAGGGAGAGCCTTGGTTTTGTTTCTTTTTATGGTAGATACACATGTTCCTTGTAGGTATCAGATACCATATCAGAGAAAGAGTAGTGAGGCTGCCTGTGGGTTGAGTTGTTCGATTATTTTAATATATCTTTATTAAAAGTATATATTCAATTTAATATAATATTCTAGGAGGGCTAAAATGACCACATAAAGAAAATAATGGCTATTTCCCCCAATGTAATGTAATGGAGATGATCTCCACCCACCTTCTCTACTTTCCTAGGCAGCAGCTATAAAAATAGAAGTGAAAAAGAAACATTTCCACTGATAATTATCACAATGAATTTACTAATGCCTCTTGTGTCCCTTTTGTCCTGAAATGAAAGTTTTTATCAGGATATTTTACAAAGAGCATCCAGGATGTGTCTAACATTTGGATGCAGATATTAAGCACAGCATTGATTTGGAGCCTGTCAGTAACTGATTCAATAGTTAAGTAAAATTCTTATAGCAGTAAAGTTAGAGAGATGAAGAGATTATCAAAGCTCACTTTTCTAAGGAAATCCAAATACCTAGAAGTGTTGGAAAAGAGTCAAGAAGCAGTAATCTAGAAACGTTTCTAGAGAATGAAAATTGAATAGAAATAGTTTATTCCTTTTATTCCCAAGAAAGTCTCTGAAACGTCTGCTGTAAATCAGGCAATGTTTCTTTTGTGCAAGAGTTAATCAACCTGACTTCCTCTACTCCTCATCTATGGACGAGTTAAAGTGGCAAATTAGAAGTCATAGAGAAGGTCTGCTATAAGTGGGCACATAAAAACCAGAATGAACATTTAACAATCAAGACAATTTTTTTATAAAAGAAAGGCATGCTTGGTAAAATACTTCAACCTGAAAAGGCATATGGACACCCCACTTATCCCCCAATACACCTTAGTTTTGCAGAAGAGCAGGAGATTCATCTCAGTGATGGTAATCTCAAAACATCCGTTTAAATTACAATATTGTTCTGCATGTAATTTATTTTAGAAAAATGTGATACCTTTCAGAAATATTCCAGGGGCTCCGCTGGAAGGCAGAATGAACTTGTGGTTCACCAAGCAGACTGTCTACCGTGCACCAGTGTAGGGTACAAACTCACTGAGCCTCAGTTTTCTAGTCTGTATAATGAGGATGAAGGGAACTACTTCAAACATGGATTGAATATGTTAAGGCATTAGAAGAATGCTTGGCATATAATATATGCTCATAAATAGATATTTATAGCTCAGCAGGTAAACATTATTCAGCATATGCTTATTTTTAAATGTTTAATATGTGTCTGAAAATTGAATCAGGAGGATAGAGTGGATATAAGAGAAGTGGACAGATGACTTGAGGTTGCATTTTTTTTCCAGTACATTAGCAATAACATGATTTGAAGGGGTGTGAAGAAAAGAGAGAAAGCAAAAGTAATCTCCACGTGATAGCCTGATAAGGATGATATTTATTACGGAGGAAGCTATCTGGGGAAGGATAGGTTTCAGAGTCAAAATCATGTTTGTTTATTTTTATGTGGTTTTATGTCAAATTAGTGATATTAATCAAAGTGATGGTGGCTGGATAAGGGAATTGGGGTTCAAAGTAGAGATCAGGTTTGCAAAAATGGCTTTTTAAGGAACAATGAAAAGATAACCATTTAAAACTATTCCATTTAGAGGTCAAGTATCCAGAAATTTTATGGCTCCTTCAGAATGTTTTATACCAACCTGCTGCCATCTGCTCTACTCTCTTCTCTCTTTCTCTTCATTCTTCATATCAACAGTAAACCCTACCCTTTTACCACCAGAGCAATAGGACAGGTAGTCAATTTCTAACTCAATATGTTTTTCCAAACAAGACAGTGTTCTTTCTCTTCAAGAGGAATTCTGGTACCAGCTTGCAATCTTTATTCCCACAGCATGACTTAATGAGCTATGTTTTGTTTCTATAATCCTATATAATAAAAGGGTAATATGCAAATTGACCAAACGGCTGAATGACCGGTCGCTATGACATGCACTGACCACCAGGGGGCAGATGCTCAATGCAGGAGCTGCCCCATGGTGGTCAGTGTGCTCCCACAAGGGGAGCGCCACTCAGCCACAAGCCGGGCTGACGGCTGGCAAGTACAGGGGCCCACCTTCGCGGCAGCACTAAGGATGTCCGACTATGGCTTAAGCCCGTGGGGAGCGGGCCTAAGCCATCAGTCAGACATCCCCCGAGGGCTCCCAGACTATGAGAAGGTGCAGTCCAGCCTGAGGGAACCCCTTCCTGAGTGCACAAATCTCGTGCACTGGGCCTCTAGTTAGAATATAAACATTGTAAGAAAGAAGATGGCATATACTGTGTACCTGATTTTGATTAATAAAGTGCATCCAAAAATTCTAAATGAAATACATGTTGAAATTTATTTTAGGTACTCTATTGTCCTCCTTAGGTCAATGTTGAGACATTGTTTTAGTTCCTTAAATTTTTATGTTACCACTTTGCTGATACAAATTATGACATTGATCACTCTAAAATTCTCTGCACATTTATTTAAGTAAATATAATGTATAAAATCCAGCAAAACACGAATAGGCTCATACATTGATGTTCATTATTTATTCAAATGATCTATATTCTCAGGTAAAACTATAAAATTCAAATTTAGGAAATTAGATAAACACATTTTAAAATGCCTTTTAGTTCAAGGACAAAAAGAAATGAGCTATCAAGCCACGAACAGACATGGAGGAACCTTAAATGCATATTACTAAGTGAAATAAGCCAATCTGAAAAGACTCCATACTGTACAATTCCAACTACAGTAGGTCCTCGGGTTACATGGGAGACCCGTTCCTACGGGACATAACGCGATTTTCACCGTAAGTCGGAACCCACCTACATCACTCACATGGAGCACATACATAGCAGTAATGAAGTGAAACAGTAAAAAAATTTAAAAGAAAAATAACAATTCCTGACCTTTACTTGTGGTAAATAAATAATAAAAAACATAAAGCACATATGCACATACGTTGAAATGACGGAACTTTTTTTTATATATAAATAAATGGGAGATGGCGACGTAACCACGAAACAATGTACGTGGAGTCTGATGTAACCCGAGGACTGCCTGTATACAACATTCTGGAAAAGATAAAATTATGGAGATGATAAAATTCAGCAGTTACTGGGGGTAGGAGGCGTAGTGGAGAGATGAATAGGAAGACCAGGGGATATGTTTAGGGCAGTAAAAATACTCTATTATAATAATGAACAAATGCCATTGTATTTTGTCCAAACCCATAGAATGCACAGTGAATCCTAATGTGAACTGGATTTGGGTGATTATGATGTGTCAGTGAAGGTTTATCCTTGGTAAAAAATGTGCCACTTTGGTGAGTGATGTTGATTGCGGGGAAGTTAAGCCTATGTGCTTTAGAAATTTCTGTACCTCCCTTTCAATTTTCTCTAAACCTAAAACTGCTCTAAAAGCATAAAGCCTTCAGCCCTGGCCGAGTGGCTCAGTTGGCTGCTTGGAGTGTTATCCCTTTTACCAAAGGGTTGCAGGTTCGATTCCTGGGGCTGGTGGTGGGGCATATGCCTGAATTGTAGGTTCAATTCCCAGTCAGGGTGTGTGCTGGGGGGGGGGGGGGGTGTTGGCTGGTGGATGTTTTTTCTCTCTCTCTTTCTAAAACTCAATTAAAAAAACCAAACATATCCTTGGGTGAGGATTTTTAAAAATAATAATATATAAAGCTTTTAAAACAATGGTTTTTAGAATAAGTTAATCATTTATTGACTATTGGTAGTGATATTGCACTAAGAAATTTAATCTCATGAAGAATTCTACAGATTTTTTAAAGGCTTGTTGAAAATGTAGGGGTTTGCACACAAAATGTGAAAGTATCCCTCTGTCTTCAATGAATGTTTTTTTTAAGCATAATTTTCTTTCTGTGTCCTTACCATAGGCTACATATCGAAACCGAGTTGTGAGCCAAAGTCTCAGCACAAGGGACAGAAAAGCAATACATACTCCCACCGAGGACCGTTTTAGATACTCGTCAGCTGACCAGACAAGCCCCTACAAGAGCAAGACCTGTCAACTATCAAGTCTGTGTTTAAATAATTTCTTGAAGGACAAGGAACTCGTGGAAGTTATCAAGCACTCAAGAGGAACTGGTGAAAGCCTCACTTCAGAGGTCACCCTGAACTTAAGGGCCACTGTTGGGCAGAACTCTCTGAAGCCAACAGCTAAGACTGAAGGGCTCCCCACGTCCTCAGAGAAACCAAAGGACCAAGCTGCTGTGGCCCGACAGCATTCAACCTTTACAGGCAGGTTCGGACAGCCACCGAGAGGGCCAATCTCTTTACACACATACAGCAAAAAGAATGTTTTTCTCCATCACAATTTACACACCACTGAGCTGCAGACTCTAGGCCAACAGGATGGGTAATTACATCACCCGATTCTGTCTCTGAGTAAAGATGGTTAGTGTTTCTCGTTCATAGCTCACATTTCAATTGTCATGTACTTTTTATTCTTGGTTATAAACAATGAATTGTGTACTTTTTTTTTTTTAGAATGAGGGTTCAAGCATGTTAATTGAATTAGGTTTAATAGCCTTGAAGGTTTTATTATATAAATATGTATAATAAATGGGACCATCTTGCTGGTTTATATAGTCCATAATTTATTTATTTTTTATCTTTATCAGTTACTGATATCTATTGAAGTTCCTGAAAGTAATATCAGATAGTACTCTATTCATTGAATGGCGTAACTGTGAAAATAGATGTGAGAAATAAGTAGATGAAGGAATTGTAAAGAATTTTAACTTACATAGTTAATAGAAGGAAAAGAGAAGATGGATTTTAAATCTTATATTTGGTGGTGTATTTATTTGAAGAATGGAGTTTGCTTGCATGTAACCTAGAGATACGTTTGTCTCTCTATTACTTACATTCAAGCTTATCTTGTCACATTATAAGGGGAGGGGGGGCTCTATTTCTTTTGCCTCTAAATGTTTAGTTCACACTAGTTCAAAAGGACTTTAGACAGTAATTGCTAGCCAAATAGAGAATGACAGCTCTGATCTTACAAAAATGTCTTATAGTTTTTGCTAGTGATGTTGAAGTACTAGGACAGGACACAGAGAGGTGGTAAAGTTGGCTAAATTCTGTCAAATGACACAAAAAGCATGATATGCTTGCTCTTTTAATCATGGCCATATAGGCATATTTTTCCAAGTTTTACAGATGGAACATTCTAAAAAAGTTATTTTACTTCACTTTCCTTGTATTTTTTAAAATCTTCGGCTATTTTTTCTGTGTATTCAGTTTCACCCTGTATACACCAACCCATACAAGATGACTTGAGAAACAGAAAGTCAGTTTCTTGGTAGCTCAATATACACTGTTTTGACTGTTTAGTCATCTAGCTTTGGAAGGAAAAGTTAAAAACATGAACTTTGGTGACTTGATCTTAGAATTTAACACTCATTTGATGGCAAATATTTCTCTTTAACAAATAAGGCCTGTTGTGTTTTACTTAACGCACATGAGATTGATCAATAAATCAAGATAATTTCTTTATGGCTAATTAATACCAGACTATATGCAGCTATAAAAATAAATAATAAACAGAAACCAGTAGGAAACAGGTCTGCAGTTTTCTTATACAAAGATAAAAGCTAATCACAGTATCCATATTAGGCATAGTTCATGCAAATCGAAATTTGTCATACCTACTGCATGATCTGTTTTCCTGGCATTCTCTAACAGACAGAATCCATCTGCATGTGCAAATGTAATGAATAAAGGGAAATTGAGATAGCAGTTTTTTAGCATGGCATCTAACGAACCTGCGTAAATTAAAGCTGTGTGTGAAATGCATCTCCTAATACAAAAAACGTTCTAGGCTTTGGGGAAAGGCCATTAGATTCCTACCTTAGCTTTAACTATTTAACTTTGGAGCAATTCTCAAACTTTGATTAGAATTGATAAGAGTAAAGAGTCTAGTGCATATGCTATACTTGCAATTCTAAAGGAAGACACATGTGCATCAAGACAAATGTTTGCCAAATGTTTTTATTCTTTGTGTGTTTGTAATGCTGCCAGAAGAGAACAATATGCACTATGATTTGCTTGGCTTAATTAGACTGCTATCTAAAATTTCCGGCTATAGTTTAGAAGCTATAATACTTATGCAGATATACATTTTGGACCAGGCAATATTTAAGACATGCTAGAAAACCAGAAAAATGATGATTATTAATTGTGTAATTCAGTTTTATTTGTCCAGAAAGTTGCTGTGTATTGCTAGAGTATTTGAATTCTGTAAATAAGTTAGCATGATAAAATGATCAAGGATTTTTTCCCAGGATATGGAAGAACTGTGTATCACAAATAATGTTTTTGATCTGGACTTTTGGAGTTTATAGTTTTGTTTTCCTGGAAGATAGACTTTTGAATTATGCTTTGTAAAAAAAAATAATCTATTTAAGAAAATCTGTCATTTAATAGACATTTTAAGAGACATTTTAAACACTAGTATTTTCTTGAAAAACCTTTTTTAAAGCTGAAACATTCAAAAAGAAAACCTGGATTAAGCAGTTCAATTTTAAATGGAGGGATATTTTTTGGAAATATCATCTTAAAGCTGTTTTGTACCAGTATTTTCAGCATTGTTATAATATTATTTGTAATACTAAGTGTAACTCAGGCCTGGAGAAGGTGTAAGCCCACCATGCCAACGTCCATCCGTAACTGTAAAACAGGGGTCAAGTTCCTCTGGTGTATATATAGAAACTCAAAACAAGAGCATATGGGCATTCTTTCAGCGGATTGATTTCTTTGTACTAAAATCTCTAGTTTTCTAAGACAGTTCCATGTGTAAAAATGATTTATACATTTTCTCCAAGGCAGTACATATCCAAAGACAGGACACCAGGGGGAAAAAGTGCTTGTTTTTCTGACAGAAGCAGTTGTGTTTCTTTCCCTTCCTCTTTCTTCTGTGCATGTATATGTGTAGCTAAGCCTACGTAACCCTGTAAAAGTTCTGCTGCAAATTGTCTCTTCTGAATTTAGAATGTGTTTTGAAGGACACCTCAGAAGAGATAGTCCTCGAGGAAAAGCTGTTTCTACCTGAAATAAACTGTGCCCATTTTTGTAATTCTCTTGTAACATGAAACTGTATTTCTATGGAACTCAGTGATTTTTTTCAACTGATTTTTTTATATGCTAACAGTCACAGTGAAATTTTGAATTCTCTCTCAAACTATTTTTGCTTCTTTGGAGCACCGTGGTCTGTGCAAATGGCAACAGGAAACTGTAGCTGCAATGCTAAAGGTAAACCTACAAGTGTCAGTATGCTCAGGGGAAGAACCTAGAGCCACACATTGTCCACATTTTTCTGTTATTTATGGAGTGAGGTATAAAGAACTAGCAAGCCACTAGTCAATATTAAACATGTGTAGGCATGTCCACACTTCCCTAATTTAAAATGTTTACAAAGACTTTCATGATTAATCTGTGTTATGACCTCCGTTTTACCCTATCTATGCCAAGAGTTAGTCCTAGCCCATGGCCACTATTATCTGAGTGTTACTGAATTCAAAGAAAATTTCACATTTTGTTTTCTTTGCCTTGTATGTGTTTAATACAGATAATACCTCCCCTCAAAAGAGTTATTTTTTTAAATTGTCATGTATTTAAGGACTATATCCACATGATAAATTATCACACTCTTCTAGAACTTTCTGAGTAAGTTAGTTATCCATGGAACAATAGGAGCAATTTATTGAATAACAAGTATTATTTCTCCGTATTTATTATCCACATTCATTATCACCTTTCTCATTTTCAAGAAGTAGTATCCCATTACAGTGTGTAACTTGGAATACTGGGTATAATCTTACACTTCTAATCTCAATTTTGCTCCACTTTTTCACTTTCAGAATTTTACATCCCAAATATCTTTAGAAGTATGAAGTGCTTAAAAACAGCCCTTACAACTCCACTGAGCCAGGTGTTGATCAAAACGGAAAAAGAAAGAGAGGTGACTGCAAAGGTGCTGTCTGTGAGTGCCACCCACTTGACTGAATCACACTCCCCCTGGCCAGAAGCTTTGCCCTTGCTGATATATCTGTTTAAATGCAGCACTGATTCATTTTTACTATGATGTTTATTGCATTCTGGGGCTTAACTCTTAAGGCATTATTTATTATCTGGTCATTTTGTATATTTTTATTTTCTTTTTTGTACAAAATTCTTTAACCATACATGATATTTTTGAGGAACTTAATCCTCTTGGAATTTAAATTTTTTTCTTGTTCACTCTCTGCCCCCATGTTCTTACTTTGTCATGCCAACTCTAGGCTATATATATAAACACAGGGCAGGGATGACAGAAAATATAAGCAAGTTTAGGCTCTTATAAAAAGTTGAATTGCACTGTAGTATAAAAGTAAATAGCCAGCTATCAGCCAACCAAACAAAGAAGCCCACTTCTCTTAACAAAATACATTATCATTGCCAAATTTTTACTTTTCAAGTCTTAATCTGTGCCAATTTTTTTCACCAATAGGCAGAACCACAACATATTCATGAACTATACTATATAATAAAGAGGTGATATGCAAATTAACCCTCACAACCTCACAAGATGACTGCCTACGACCAGGCCAGCAGCGGGGTTAGTGAGGGATGACCAAACGACTGAACAGCAGGCTGCATGGGGCAACCAGGCTGGCAGGGGGGACAGTTAGGGGCAACCAGGCTGGCAGAGGGGGGGCAGTTGGAGGCAACCAGGCTAGCAGGGGGGGGAAGTAAGAGGTGACCAGGCTGGCAGGGGAGGGTGCAGTTGGGGGTGACCAGGCCAGTGGGGGGACAGTTGAGGGTGATTAGGTTGGCAGGGGGGGCAGTGAGGGTTTACCAGGCTGTGGAGGGGGCAGTTGGGGGGCGACCTGTTTGGCAGGGGGGGGGGCAGTTAGGGTGATCAGGCCAGCAGGTGGGGGGCAGTA